GTAGTGATAAGGGTATTGTGTATTCTGCTGCGGCCTACAAGATTCCGGAATGTTCTCGGGCAGCTGCAGGCACACCCTTGATCCAGGTATGCGAATCTGTAACTGTATTTCCCATTCTACCCTTTTATGTGTTTCGATTCCTTTATTCTTTTTTACTTTCAGATTTTGTCCCTATCTGATGGTGAAAGAATTACTTCTATCATCCCTGTTAGTGATTTTGCTGAAGATCAATATCTTTTAATGCTAACTGCAAATGGATATGTTAAAAAAGTATCTTTGATGTACTTTTCATCCATTAGGTCATCCGGTATCATAGCACTTCAATTGGTTTGTCTTCTTTTTATATTTATTCATCTTCAATACTATAGTAAACTACATTTTTGGTCCCTGTGTGTAGCTGATTTTTTGCAATTTCAATCCAAAAAAGTTATCTGTTGCAATTGTGGTCTGTATTTTTTGCAATATCAGCTATACTTACTTAGGGACCAAAAAATATAACTTACTCATTATACTATTAAATAAAAGTGAATTACATTTTTGGTCCCTGAGTATGGCTATTTTTTGCAATTTTGGTACCAAAAATGTAATATACTCGTAATACTTTTAGAAAAGAATAAATTACACTTTTGGTCCCTGGGTATCACTGATTTTTGCAATTTTTGTCTGCTGTTGATTTTGCAAGAGAACTTTTTGGGACCAAAATTGCAAAAGTCAGCTATACTCAGGGACCAAAAATGTAACTTACTCATGAAAAAATAAAATAAGTCTCACATACTCTACTTTCTAGGTGCCTGGTGATGAACTGAAATGGGTCCGTCATTGCACAAACGAAGACTATATTGCAATGGCTTCACAAAACGGAATGGTTATTCTTAGTTCTTGTGATATTGTAAGTTCTCTATTATTTTTGCTTACATTTTATAAAATCAAATGGGATTATTATCAGGTTTAACTGCTTTTTTATAACCTATTAAACTTTTTATTTATAGATCCGAGCACTTACTAGACATAGCCGAGGTCAGATTGCAATGAGACTGAAAGAAGGCGATAGAATGGCATGTGTGGATATTATACCTGCAACCAAACAGGATGGAATAGAAAGTGAATCTGAATCTAGCACTCCTGACACCCCGTAATTTCATCAACCTTGTTTCCCATTTTTATAAAATTTCTTCTATTTTTGTTTCAACTTCTTAATTTTTTTATTTGTAGTAACCGAGCACACGGGCCATGGCTGTTGTTTGTGTCTGAAAATGGTTATGGAAAACGAGTTCCTCTCAGCCACTTTCGCAAATCACCTTTGAATAGGATTGGATTAAAGGGGTACAAGGTATGCGTATATCCTTCCATTTTACATGAAGCAAGTTTAATGTTTAATTTTTTTTTTTGAGTTTATTATGATGGGTTTTGTTTATTTTATTTAAGTTTTCATCGGAAGACAAATTGGCAGCTGTTTTCGTAGTTGGTTTTACTACAGCAGGTAATGTGGTTTTCTGGTTTTAGCTTTAATGTAAGTTACCAAAAATATATTTTTTTAGTTTTTTAATATATATATATTTTTTTTGTTACAGATGATGGTGAAAGTGATGAAGAAGTTGTTCTTGTGAGTCAGAGTGGTACAGTCAACCGGATTAAAGTCAGGGATATTTCTATTCAGTCACGCTATGCAAGGTAACTAAGCATCTCTGTGAAAAGGGTAAAATGGTCATTTACTCATGTTCACACAGTTCATCCAGTCCATATGATATACACATAGACAAAAGAGTAAAATGGTAATCTACTCTCATTTAGACAGTAAGTTCAGTTGATAAGTAAATACACAAAACAAGAAGGGTAAAATGGTGATTTACTCACATTAAGTCCATATGAATTAGACAAACAGAAGGGTATAATGGTGTCATTTAACACAAATGTTCTAAAAAACATTATTAAGTTAAGTTGATGTTTGTAATGGTGTACCTGTCTCAGGGGAGTGATATTGATGAGGCTTGAGCATGCTGGGAAGATCCAATCAGCTTCATTGATATCGGCTGCAGAAACAGATGTGGAGGAGGAAGTTGAAGTTGAAGCTGCAGTGGCATAAAAAATTTAACCATGATTCATGGTTAGATCACAAGTGAAGTGATATCGGTTAACCATGGTTAGATTTTCTTACTGATGTCATCATATTTATGCATGGAGAATACATGGGGAAAAGCTACTTAACTCAGTTGGAAGCCTGAAGCTCCTGTAAATTTCATGCAAAGGAAACACAAAAGTATAGTGGTTGATTGTATTTTGGGGATTTTAAACTTTGTAAAATGCTTGCTTTTGGTGTAGAGTGATGTGTGCATTGGATTATTATGGGAAGCAACGAAGTATTAGTAAGTTTAGGAATGATTTAAACATCCACGAAGAGCATCAAATTTACTTGTCATTTTATCATATGTAAGGTGTATAAAAGTTCAAGGATGAATAAAGTACTAGAAACATGCATATGCACTATGTTCATAAGTACTAGAGTGGATTAAAAAAAATGGAACATGAAGTACTAAAATTCATGACTAATGTTCAAGGGTAGTAAATATGAAAGAATACATATATCTAAGCCTATGTTTGATAGACTAACGGAAAAACTAGTTGCTAGCTTACAAAAATGACGTTTGCTACAAACTATTTGATAAGTTTGTTCAAAGATATAAAATGACATTTAAAAGAACATGTTTAAATATGTTTTTTTATAATCAATTAATGGTATATTCAAAACATTTTAAAAAAGCTTCTCAAAAGTTGGTCTAAATAGATTTTTAAAAAGCTAGAGTTTATAAGTAACTTTTTGATTTGTTGAACATGTAAATTTAAAAAAATTCAAAAAATAAGCTAAGCTTAGAAAAGATAGTGTGGAATCTTTTTATTTATTTTTAGGTTTGGGTTGGAGTTAGGGAGGATATCTCCAAGATGATGATCATTTCCTTGTGGTACCGTTGGTTTAGAGGATTTAGTGGGTTATACAACCCGATGAGAGTCTCTTTCTCTTTTCAAGCTAAAACAAATTTGTATGTATTTAATTAGTTTGTATATTTTTAATATTTTATAAATTAATTTTTATTAGTTTGTGTTTATTTTAAAATCAAAAATTGCACGGGTTTAGTTGGTTGGAAAATATATGGTTTCCATATGTTATGAGTTGAGAAAGATGGAAGAGAGGTGAGAAAGCAAAACTGAAGTGGAGCTAATGTGAAAGTGAGTTGAGTGGGTTGGGAGGAAAGACTCCCTCCTACCTTATCAGCTAAATCTCACGTGCCAAACACAACCTAAATACCACAAATTTACATAGTTCATGCGTGAGTGAACAATGAACACATAAGGTGATAATGACAATAAGGAATATTATAAATGATTTAGAGTATTAGAATTGGTGGATATAATAAACGTTTAAAGTACATTACCTAAAAGCAAAGTGCAATGTCTGGATATGGGATCAAAGTATGCTACAATTTTGGGAAACATTATATCTAGTTGTGGAAAACATACTCAATTCAGTAACTAATAACATGAATAAAGACATTTGTATTCATATAAGGTCCACGAGGCATACAGAGGAAAAAAATGATGATTTTAATTATATGAAGGTGAAATCCAACGTATCTAGCAACATTTGCAAGAATTAACATTATTAGTCAAAGACAAATCTAAAACACCGTTTGTATGTTCAGTTTATATTTGTTATCATTATTACAACAATCCATTCAAGTTCAAACATTGCGGAAATGGTTCCACATGTTTTAAAAGCAAATACAATATTGTCTTTAAAACAAGTATGAGAGGATGATTAGTAAATTTCAAAACATGAGTTTAAAGTGAAAATTTTAAATACTAATTCTCAAAGTCTCACCATAGGACATTTGACATAGTGATGTGAGGAGTTGATAGATATGTGCCTCTCAACCCAAATGTTTAGGGTTCATATAGATTTAGGATTAAAATAGTGAATACATATGTAAATCATTCTAAAAGAAATACTTAATGGTCCAACCGTATGAAATCCTAAAATCATCATCTATTTGAACCTTATCCACCTTCCTAAAGTGTTCTTCATCACATAGGTGATAACAAGAAGCTAAAAAAAATAGCCTAAAGGGTTGATTTCATATGGGCAGGGAAAATTTTGTCAATGCCATACATCCACTTGGTACAATTTGCAAAATGGTTCTCAAGAGCTTATAGAATAGTCGCGGATCTAGTGTATAACAAGTGGGGTGTATGGTCCCACTTAAATATTGCTTCTATTCAAAAAATTTAGCACAAATTAAGTTTTTCTTATGTAATTGAACAATTGGCACCCAGTTAAGTTTTTTTTGGCACCATTTTCACTGAAAAAACCCAAGAAACACTTGCAAAAGTTCATATTTTTCTATTAATTTTCGTTATAATTATCCTTATATATTTTAGCCACCTGATAGTTTTGGTTCTGAGTACGTCATTGTATAGAATATGGTACAATATGTATGGGAGTTCTCAAAACCATAACATCTGGGGCATGTATAGGCTGGACACATGCCTTGTACAACCGTACCAAAGTGTTATAGGTTTTTTCTTGCAAAATACGAAGTTTATTTGACACCAAACCAATGTTGGCTCAAATTGGACATCGAAGTATTTAGATACGTACCAAAAATTAAGAGAACGCTAATATCCATGTGACAATTAGACGATGAAGGAGCATGTGGATTTTTTGAGGTCATCAATCGTCAGTGGAAGATGACAATTCAATATTAGTGGATATATGTGCAAATTACAGACAGTTTATTTGTTAATTGGGAAAATGACCTTTGAGGGTAATAAAGTATTCGTCTTGTATTCATTAGGTCCCTTATCTTTTTTTTTTTGTCTTTATTATACCATTGAACTTGTAATCCCTGTTCACCAAAGCCCTTGATACCGGTTGTTGTAGGTTACTAGTTATGTGGATATTACGTGGCATTATGTGCCATAAACTGGGCTTATTAATTGCAAAGTTAAGTACTGCATCTTCTTGCCCGTTCTTGCCCTAGATCGACATGTCTTCTTCTTCTTCTTCTTCTATTTCTTCCAAACGAAATGTTGAATTTCAACCTGAAAATCCTTGTTACTGTGGGTTACCATCTCGTGTACGAACTTCACGAACTAAAGACAATCCAGGAAAAAAATTCAGATTGTGCCCTAACTCCATGGTAAAGCAATTGTTTTTTACTTTTCGTTTTATCTTCTTTCTTTAACCAATTTGTTACTTTTTTCAAGAATGAAGGACCAAAATGCAAGTTCTGGGAATGGTTGGAGCCTGAAACCCCTGAAAATGAAGTCAATTCTGGGAAGGACAAAAAAGAACCGTGCAATTTAACCCTCAAAGTTTCTATATTGGAAAACGAGATCAGCATATGTAAGATGAAGATGGAACAAGAAAATTTGGTTGTTAGACAAGAGTTTGAAAAACTCAAATGGAAGCTATTTACTCATAAAGTTGTGATGATTGTGTTGTTTCTGTTGTTTGTGTTTAAGAAGTAGTTTAGCCCTTAATTTAACCCTTAGTTTAGCTGTATTCAAAGACTAAATGTAATCCTTAATGTTGTAATTTGTTTGATGTATTATGACTAAATCTTTTTGATTAATGATAGTTTGATGTTTTGAGTGCTTTCCAAGAAGTATTAATATGTTTAAAAGGTTAATGAATTGGACATGATGCATGGGTAAAATGGTCCAGATTAAATTTGGCAGTCAATTGTTATTGTGTTGATGTGATCCAATGGTAAAATGGTCCAGAATAACCACATTGGATACATCAAACATTTCTTAATGTATTAAGACTAAATCTTGGCATTAATCAATTGTTAATGTGTTGATGTGATCCAAGGGTAAAATGGTCCAGATTAAATTTGGCAGTAATCAATTGTTATTGTGTTGATGTGATCCAAGGGTAAAATGGTCCAGATTAACCACATTGGATACATCAAACATTTCTTAATGTATTAAGACTAAATCTTGGCATTAATCAATTGTTAATGTCTTGATGTGATCCAAGGGTAAAATGGTCCATATTAAATTTGGCAGTAATCAATTGTTAATGTGTTGATGTGATCCAAGGGTAATATGGTCCAGATTAACAACAACAACAACACCAAACTTTGCTTAATGTAGTAATACTAAATTTACTTGATTTATGATAGATAATATAAGATTAAACAATCTATATGCAAATAACCGTACACCAAAGCATATAGATAAAAGACAAAGTTGTAATATTCCATCATCATGTGCACTATTACAAAAGTTGTGCCCACAGTTGTCCTAATATGTCAAAAGATGTGCCATGTGCCCACAGTTGTCCTAATATCCCAATTACATATTTATAAGACTAAAAGTTTGTCTTTCCAAATAAAATCATTCCAACACCATTGGGTTGTGTCCAGTGCTTCCTTCTTTCTTCAAAACCTTCCTCCTCAACCCTATCTTGGTAATTCTTTCTGAGTATTTTCGTATCCTCTGCCTAGTTGCAACTGGTTGAGCAGGGACATCAACATCTGGATGTGGATCATCTACTTGAACTGGTTCAACATGTGGAGCTGGTACATCAACTGGATCCACTGGATCTGCTTGAACTGGATCAACCTGTGGAGCTGGTACTTGAACTGGATCCACTAGATCTGCTTGAACTGGATCCACTTGAACTGGTTCCACTTTACCTGCTATACAAATATGTAGCTAATGAGTTGGATGTTCCATTTAAATTATATTGTTTTAATAGCATACCTTTCTCTTTTTTACATTTTTTAGGTTTCTTGTTTTTTGGCCTTGAAGTGGATGCTACATCTGCTGGTCTAGTAGGACATGTTGATCTATTGTGGCCCCTTTCTCTACAAATACTGCATCTATTAACTGAACCTGCTTTTGAGATAGTATGCCTTGTTTTCCCCTTGCTTTCCATCTCAGATTGATCTTTTTTCCTTTTAAGGGTTGGCCTTCCTGGTAACCTTCTTTTTTGAGGAGGCAATGGCTTCATGTAGGGAGCTTCAGGCCACATGGAACTACCATTAAGTGGGTTAATGGTATGGTTGTAACAAGTCAAGAACATGGCTGTATGGAACCATGGTGCAACATAATCCTCTGCATTCCTGTTAAGGTATGAAATGGCTGCCACTGCATGCACACATGGGATACCTGATACTTGCCAAGATCTACATCCACATGTGTTGTTGTTAAGGTCCACAGCATATCCATCATTTCCAATCCTAACTTCATATTGTTGTATCCCAGATGGTATAACACCCCAAAATCTGCCCAAAAAAATAAGAAGTTCTATTAATCTTATAGATGAGACATATAATATTTATAAAATAGAAGTTATATCATACCTTTGCTGTTTCTTTAGCTTTGATATCTTCAACCTTATAGATGGACATATTTTTAAATTCCCCCAACTTTGTCCCTCTTGCAACATTTTATACATCCTCTCCATTGCATAAATCCTTATCTCTTCCAACATGGTGATGAGTGGCCTTTTCCTAGCAAGATCAATAACAGAGTTGAAACTTTCTGATATGCCATTCTCATAAGCATCACAAGCCCTGTCCACTTCAAAGAATGCCCTGCACCAACTTTTAGGGTCCCTTTCCATGAGGTGTTCATAAGCCAAAGGATCAATTTTTTTTATGGAATTCATTTCTGCCTCAAATTTTGGTTGAGTAGTACTAGCAGCTGCTGCCCAAAACAACTTCCTATATTGTTCACCTTTGAAACTTTTCTTGAAGTTAGCATAGATGTGCCTAGCACATTGTCTATGCTCTGCTGCTGGAACCCTTTCTTTGACAGCCTCTATTAATCCCTGAAAGAAAGCATGAAATAGATGACATAACAAAAACATTCAACTTAAACAAAACAAAACAGAAATATACCTTGTGTTGGTCTGATATGAGGGTCAATCCATGACCAATTCCCATTTCAATGTCATCCAGAAGGAGGTCAAGAAACCACTTCCATGTTTCCTTATTTTCAACTTCCACCACAGCCCATGCAATAGGGAAGATGTGGTTGTTTGCATCCCTACCCATAGCTGCTAACAGTTGGCCTCTACATATACCCTTTAAAAAACAACCATCTACCCCTATTACCCTCCTACATGCTGCAATCCAACCATCCTTCACACCCTTAAAACAAACATACATTTTAGAAAAGTAGGTTGTGGAATCAGGCATGACATTCACATCTATCTTTACTGTTGAACCAGGATTTGTCCTCATTATTTCTTCTCCATAACTCCATACTTTACCATAATGTTCTATCAAACTACCCTCTATCTCATCCAAAGCATATCTCCTAGCATTTCTACATTGAGTGACACTAACAATCAAGTTAAACTTTGTACTCACTTTGGCCTTCATTTTCCTTATGCTCATTTTAGGGTTCTTCAGAAGTTGATTCTTAAAATGCATTCCAATCCATTTATATGTTACAATGGAACCAAGTTTGAAGACTCTTGAACAGTTATGTTCATCAACTAATGACTTAATTTGGAAAGACCTTTCACTGCTCATCCAGGAAGCCCACAGTCTAAAAGGACAAGAGGGGTTCTTGTTCTCTTTACAACATCTCACTAATAACCTCTGACTATCATTTTTCTCAAAATAAAGGTTGTACCCATTCTTCACTGCATAGTTAGTCAAACAATTTTTCAATTCCATGGGGTTAGAGAATCTCATACCTAGAATTGGCACCATTTTGTCCCATTTCTGGTTCTCATTATGGACAGGGTACACTGGTTTGTCATCTCCATTCTTGGTTTCAACCTCATCAGTTTCAGCCTCATCATTTATATCCTTACACATACCTGACACCCGATGTAAGAATTCATCACCAATAGTCTTGTCAAGAGAAGGAATGTAATCATCTGCTTCATGCTCATATGGAATATCATCAGAAAGTTGTGAATCTTTATCATCATCCAGGTCTTCGTCGAAATAATGCCCTTCATCATCAGCCCAATCAAGTACAGGTTCATTTTCGTGGTCTATATACACATTCATTCTTAGACCGGCTTCATCACTATAACCCGTTTCAATAAACTCAAAGTAGTCAGCATCATTCGTAATTCTCCTAATACCCTCTGCCAATGGTTCATTTCTAGTGCAATAATATACATTATCACAACTGCCTTCAATCAACTTTGCAATGAACAAGTTAAAGTCTTTGAAATCCATTGCACCAAAATCGACATCACAGATTGAAACAACAACAGCGTTCAAGTACACTAATGGTTTTGGTGCGAATAAACCATTATAATGTAAATAAACTGTTAAATACTTACTTTGTTTGGAATCGGAGGCCATCTTCTTCACTATAACACTCGCATTCACCAGTTGTCTTCAATTTCCTAACCGTATGCTTCGATTGAACTTTTTCTTCCCTCAATTAAAAAGAACCCTAACTGTAAGGACAAACGGGTGAAAGAGAAACATGTGTATTAATTCCACATAATAAGACATGTCATCTCTAATTAAATGTGGTAACCGGTAAAACAGGTGATAACCGGTCACGGTGGCTTTGGTGAACAGGGATTACAAGTTCAATGGTATAATAAAGATAAAAAAAAGATAAGGGACCTAATGAATACAAGATGAATACTTTATTACCCTCAAAGATCATTTTCCCTTGTTAATTTGTTAATTATAAGTAAACCTACGAAGTCACATACTAAGAACATTAAAAAAGATATGGAATAAATAATATATTTATATATGATAATTATCATTTACCAACCAGAATAAATAAGTAATAATTGGTTACTTATTATTTATTATGATCTTTCTTATTTACCTTACAACTTGGTTATTATAGAAATAAGTGAATACTGAAAAGCCTAATAAGCCTCCTTCCTAAACCCAAAAATCATCAAGCACTTGGCTTCCCTCTATTTGTGATCGACGGACAAGAGCAAATGAAGAACACCAAAGAATATTATTTGATTATTGGTGTCGAGCAACATTTCGTATCAACTCATGTAGATACCGATAATGATGATCAATCCTCATTATAGTCTCATATATAAAAGGATCCTACATATCAATGTACGGATTCTAAACATCGTGTGGTTAATTTCAGTTGATTATTTATTGTCGAATTGGATCCGATTTTTAGAGATTATAATATTTTAAACTATTATTTTTCGATGTGCAATGATTTCTGAATTAGTTTTGAATTTTCCAACACCTAATAGTGGTATCATAGCCATTTCAGACGTAATAGTTATCATTTCATAGCTATTTGAGACATAATAGTTATCTTTTCTAATTTATCTTGATCGTTCTTGTTCATCGTTTTTTATGATCATTGTAATAATCAAGATACTTTAAAATCAAAATTTTGGATTTTAAGCGTTTAATTATTTTATTTATATATAATTTTACTAGTTCGAAAAGTACTTTTATGTTACCACATGTATGATTTTAACAACAAACCCTTAGGGTGCGTTTGGTTGGCAGGAAAGGAATGAAATTCGAGGGAAAAAGATTCTAATTCCCTCAAATTAATGCGTTTGGTTGGACTTAGAAGAGAGAAAAAGATTCCTAAATGAAATAAATTTTCCACCATATGGTGGAAAGTGAATTCATTCCAAAGTTGGATGGAAAACATTCCTTCTCATCAAGGAAAATGACAGATTACAAAAATACCCGTTCTACTTATCAAAAAACCCACCACTACTACCACCACCACCACCATCACTATCATTGACCACCACCGTCGCCACTACCGCTGCCGCCACCACAACCACCGCCACCGCCACCGCCACCACCACCACGACCACTGCCGCCATAACCACTACCACCGCCGTCGCTACCGACCACCACTACCACCCACCATCACCGCCGCTGCCACCACCCACCGCCACTACCTCCGACGCCACCACCACTACCACCGCCGCCACTACCACCACCACAACAACCACCACCACTATCTCCGACACCACTTCCACCCACCATCAGCGCCATGACCACCACCACTGCCACCACCCACCGTCATGACCACCACCCACCGCCACTACCTCCGATGCCACCACCACCACTGCCGCCATCGCCGCCGCCACCGACCACCGGTACCACTGCCATGATCACCACCATCGCTCCCACCGCCACCAACCACCACCGCCGCCGCCACCAACCACCACCATACCTCCGACGCCACCACCACTACCATCATCGTCGTTACCACCATCGCCGCCACCACCGACCGCTACTACCTCCGCCGCCACCACCCACCGCCACCAGCACCATCACCACCGTCGCTATCGCTGCCAGCTGCCACTGCCACCATCACCACCACTTTCTTCACCATAATCAATGCCACCACCACCATCACCACCACTGTCGTCGCCACCCACCACTATCGTCGCTACCACCGCCACTGCCCTCACCACTACTTCCACCACCGCCAAAATTTTACCGTTTTTATAGTTTTCATAATGTATCTTACCATATAATTTAGAAAACAAGGTAAAATTAAGCAAAACATGCAAAAGGGTAATTATGTCATTTTACATGAATTCCAATTTCATTTCTTGCGAACCAAACAGAATCTGGAGTTAATTTCAATTCCATTTCCTGCCAACCAAACAACACATGGAATTGGATTCAAATTCCTAACATATTCCTTTTCCAATTCCAATTCCAATTCTTTCAGCAACATTCTGCGAACCAAACAACACCTTAGAATTCATTCATTAGGATTGTTTCAGGAATGCGCCGTTCTTACCCGTGGTTGAATGTAATGTTATGTAATTTGGTTGTCAGATTTTTCTGTCCGTGTTTTGTAATCGTTAGTTTTTTTTCCTTCAAATTTTTTAATTTAAATTTATAATATTTCTTTTTGTAAATTGTAAATAACCAAGAAAATGGAAACACACATGACTTAAACCATAAAGAAGATACATAATGCATAATACTTTGGGCTGCCATTCCAAGCCTTGACTAACTCAGTTCAATAACCTTGACAGCTTCAACTGAGACTGCCAACGACCCATCAACATACAATCCAATCCACTAGGTGAAACATATCTTTCATCTAAGTTCACATCAAGTGAAGCCCAACGACGGCCCAACGTGGAGTCCCTCTTGGCTCGGCCAACAACAACGCCACCCTACCCTAGCAGTGGTGACCGGTGGTGTATGGCGCAAGTGACAGGTGACGACGATTGTCAAATTTTCTGGCGATGATGAAATTTCGAGTGTTCATTTTTTCAGGGCCAAAATTTATTATTTTTTATCGTTCAAACTTCTTTCATCTCTAGATGTTGACGAAATTAAGTCATGATGACTAATAGATCCAAGGCACCAAACACCCCAAATGACCTAGAGATTCATAAAGTTCCAAACTTTATGAGATCTCACCACCCTAACCCACCAATACATGAAGAATAAGGGACAAGTCTAGAGATCTAGCAACTTAACAATATAAAGATTGAGTCTTGGAAACTCACCAAGGTCCAGAAGATATGCTAGAAGATGAAGATGGTGCTTGCAAGGTAAACCACCACACCAAAAAGGTTTCCTCCTCCTTTAAAGATCACAAAAGTACTCTTTCAAGAAAAAAGATCACAAAAGTACTAAAATGAACACACAATATGCAATGGAGACTAGGGTTAGGATTTATGAGTTTGGGAGGGTGATGGAGGCTGGATGATCATGAAAACCTATCCATAAAGTTAGGGATGAGCATTGGAACCGGCCCAAACCGGAACATGTTTGGGAACCGAACATGGTGGAAAATAAGAACCGAATCAGACCGCCGGTTCTACCGGTTCTGGTTCCTACCGGTTCTTGCCGTGTCTTCGATGTTGGAACTGGTCCTCGAGAAATAGCAACATATGATTCCGGTTTTTGCCGGTTCTACCAGTTTCGGGTTTATCGGTTCCCGGTTCTAAAAATCCACAAGAATATCATCCCGGTCTCAGCCCGATCTGTTCTATCCGGTTCTGGATGGTTCCTCGGTCCAAATGCTCATCCCTACATAAAGTCATTTAAATCGGGCCTAAATCCCAAGGATTAGGGTTTTCTCCAAAAACAGTTGTCATACCGTGATAACCCATGGCCACGCTGATATGTGCATATTTAATGTGTATTAAGTATAGTTTTTTTATTCATATATTAGCTAAATTATTGCATATTATGGACAAAAGGTACTTAAAAGTGTTAAATTATGTTTTTCAGTCCAAAGATGAAGCTCGGAAGCGAAAGGAAGCAAGAGAAGCGGTTAGGAGCTCGAGAGTGGAATGAAGAAGGAAAACACCTAAAAAAAGGCTTCTACTCGGCGAGTCGAGCCTTGACTCGATGAGTCCGGTCGAGGAATCAGAAGGATAATGATTCGGAAGTCAAGATAGTTATCGCAATACGGAGAATGTGAGAGGGACTCGACGAGTCACCATATGACTCGACGAGTCGGAACGCATATTTAAAGATAACTCCACAAATCGAGAGGGAAGAATTCTGGGAAGTTTCAGAAGTGCTTTGCTGCGAATAAGAAGCCAGAAGAACCCTAGAAGTCGACCAAGGAAGCTAGAATTCAATTCCGGGAGTAATTAAGGCACAATTTCATCATTCTACTTATTCTTTTGTTTTGTCAACATGATTAAGCAACTTGAACTTGTTTGTTTGCTGTTATTTACCTTAGTTATGAACTAAATCTTTAGACTTCTGTTTGGGGATACAAAGTTGACAATATGGTTTGATTGATTGGTAGGATTAATTCCAAGTTGGTGAATTTTTGTTATTTTAGCTTGCTAAAGAACCTTGTGTATGAATGATAATTAATTTTCTGTTAATAGGAAGATAATTGATTAGCATGAACATCTATTGATTATCAACCTCATATGATATGTGACCACTATACCATATGTCTAGGATTAATGAATATGAAACTAGGATTAATAAGGAAATTGAGTAAATTCATGTGCAAGCTTGTAAGATGACCATCAAACAAGAGGTTAATTAAGAATAATAAATTAATTAGCTATTGCAAGTCTAACTTAACCCGAATAATTAATCTAGTAAATATAATTAAATTAAGCAATTGGCCACTGTTTGAGTTAGTTTATTTGCTAAGGATTAGGGTAGTGAACATGAACCTAATCACTTGAATCGGTAACCAACGAAAGAATTAATCCATTGCACTATTACCTTGAAATCAACCATAAAGTTAACCGAGTTGAACTAAACAGAAGTTCCTTTCCCATTATTGAATCTAGTTAAATTGTCATTTTCTAGTCTTAATTTAGTTATAGTTAGTAAGTTTCTAGTCTTGTAAAACTAGAGAAAAACCCCTATTTTCTTAATCAACT